TTTTCTTGGCAGAGATCCTGGAGTGGTTTGCCATTGCCTTCTCCAGCTCATTTGACAGATGAGGAAACTGAGGCAAACAGACTTGCCCAGGGTCACCCAGCTAGGAAGTGTCTGAGGCTGGATTTGAACTCAGGCCTTCCCGCCTCTAGGCCTGGCGCTCTATGCTTTATGGTGTCACCAGCTGCACCACCTCGCTTCTGGAGCAAGAAGAGCTGGGATCAGATCCTCACCTTGATGCTTTATTGCCCGTGTGCCCCTGGGCAGCTCCCTTATGCTCTCTGGGCCTCAGTTTGCTTATCTATAAAATGGGTTGCTCTAGACAGCTCCTAAGATCCCTGTGATGTTCTGTCACTGCCTTGCTGTGTGTGTGAGCCTCAGTTTCCCCATCTGTAAAACAAGGGTGTCAGACCACGTGGTGGTTTTGTGCCGGAGAAGAGCATGAACATAAAGCTCTTTCTGGATTTTCTCAGTGCTCTTAGACTTGGCCCTTCCAGGAAGGGCCTGGGGCCTCTCAGGGTTGGGGTGGGGGCCGCGCAGTCTGGGCCCTACCTTCACAGAGCAGGTCCTGCCCCGGCTTGGGACCGGGGGGTCCGAGTCATCGTGGAAGATGGGATGGTGATACGGCGGCTTCTGCCGAGTCCAGGTGGGGCTGTGGACGTTTACCGAGCTTCGTCTGGGGTTTTAAGGTTTCATTTCTGTCTTGGCATCCTAGCACCTCTCACAGGGCCTGGCACACAGCAGGTGCTCAGCAAATGCTCGTGAATGAATGAATGAATGAGTAAATGAACGAATGAGTAAATGAATGAAGCCTACTTGTCCAGAGCCCAGGGCCTTAGCCTTTCCCAAGGAGCCCTGGAGCCCCCATTTCTCTGCCCTTCAAGGTTTACAGAGGGCAGTTCCTCATAACTGGTGAGCCCTGGGTTGTGCTAGGTCAGGAAACTGAGGCTCAGGAAAATTTTGTGTTTTAGGGTCATGGACATTTGAAGCCATTTAGCCTCCCCCCGCCATCGTACAGAGGAAGAAACTGAGGCCAAGAGAGTGGGAGGGACTTGTCCAAGGTCACACAGCTAGGCTAGCACCTGACGCCGGGTTTCTCTGTCCAGGTCTGGCACACTGTTGCCCCTGGCATTGGCAGGGGGAGGGGGAGGCTTCATCCACTCTTTAGAGACAAATCTGTTGGTGTTAGAAGGGACCTCAGAGGTCATCTGAGCAGCTGCAGCATTTACTGGTCTGGAGAAATCAATTAAGCAGTGTGTGTGTGTGTGTGTGTGTGTGTGTGTGTGTGTGTGTGTGTGTGTGTGTGTGTGTGTGTGTGTGTGTGTGTGTTTATAGCAGTCAGGGTTGAATGACTTGCCCAGGGTCACACAGCTAAGTGTTTGAGGCCAGATTTGAACTCAGGTCCTCCCAACTCCAGGGCTCACGCTCTCTCTGTTGCACCACCAGCTGCACATCAGTAAGCATTTTTAAGTCTGTGTCGTGTGCCTGCCTGCACTGTGCCCGGGCACTGAGGATACAGTACAGAGAGTGAAGTTAAGGAGCATGAACCATGTTTGAAAGGAAATCAGAGACTCTGGGAGGCAGAGGTGAGGAAGACAGGGCAGTGCAGAAGCACAGAACTGCAGTCTCACTTTTCTCACCTGCCAAATGGGAACAATATTATGGGTCTAAATGACACGCCCCCTCCTGCACCAGGCTTTCTGAAGAAAGCATCTGGACACCTTCAAGAAATAGGAATAGGTTAGTTTGGAGTATTATCAAGTGTAGCTTCCCCATCTCACAGCTGGGGAAGTCAGGAGCCAGGGAGGGAAGTGACTTATCCAAGGCCATTCAGTGATCTTGTGGCCAAGTCGGGGCTGGGGTCCAAGCTTTACCTTTCTCTACCTCCTCATTTCTTGATCCCACAGGAAAATAAACATGAGCGGAAGGCAGCCGAGGTCTATGGAGAGGGTAAGGCTGGTGGCTGCCGCCCCTACCTCTGAGGACCCCCCCCCCAGTACTGGTCCTTTGGACCTCACCCTGGAGCTGCTTTTGTGGGATGGGTGGGAGGGAAGCCAGGCCTGTGGGGCTTGGAGTCCGGGCTCATGTGAGCTGGGACCCTGGGCCCAAAGCCTCCAGCCCAAGGCTCTTGAGAAGGCCTGTGTCCACTGTGGGGGGGGGGGTATCAAGATGCACTTCTCTTGGCTGCAAAGGAGCAGCTGGGGACGAGAGAGCCCTAGAAGCTGGCCATGGCAGGGGCTTCCGCTGCACCTTAAATCAGTTGCACTCCAGGTCTTTCCCAGACCCCCCTCCCCAGGTCCTCAGAAAGCAGGGGCAGGGCCCAGGAAGGGCATCCCTGCTGACAAGCCCCCATCCCTCCCCTGTTTCAGAACCCCCCACGGACAGAGGACCTAGCTGGGTCACACGGCTCCTCCGAGGGCTCTGGGCAGACTGGTTCTCAGCCCCCAACCTCCCCAAGACTCAGAACCGTTAAAGAAGGAAGGTCCTAATAAAGCCTGGATGGAAATGCCACCATTGGTGTGCACATAGGTACCTGTCTGAGTCTGTCATTGGTCGAGGGCCTGGAAGAGGAGCAGGACCTTGGGGCAGTGAGGGGGCAGGGTAGGTGAGAATAGCCAAATAGCCACAGGCCAAAGTCCTTCAGATTGCCTCAGTGTCCTGCCCTTCCCCACCAGTCCCACCCCAGCCATTGGCTGTGAGGCCATCAGAGCAGCAGACCTGCCTGCCGGGGTCAGTGTCCATGGCCATGCCTGTCAGCATCAGTGCCCATCAGTGCCCATGCCTGCTAGGGTCAGTACCTGTCAGTGCCCATGCCTGCCAGGGTCAGTACCCATCAGTGCCCATGCCTGCCAGGGTCAGTACCTGTCAGTGCCCATGCCTGCCAGGGTCAGTACCCATCAGTGCCCATGCCTGCCAGGGTCAGTGCCCATGGCCATGCCTGTCAGGGTCAGTGACCACCATGGTCAGTACCCAGGTTCTATACTCTTCACTCTGAAGTCTGCTTTTGCCTTATCTTTTAGAAACCTTAAGGTGGAGTGGCCAGTTCTTTTCAAGTGTCCCCATTTCTCCTCCAGCAACTCATCCCTCTGGATGTGAGGGGTCATCATGGCAGCCTAGCTGGATCCCAGGAAGCCCTGGGTTCAAGTCTTGCCTTTGCCTCTTACTGTGCCAGGCGCCCCACCCCGGGCAGCTCTCTAAGACCTACCTGTGTTCTGTCGGCCAGGTGCCATCCTTGTCACCTGTCATGACCCCCAGGTCCCCTTTTCCCTCTGGTTAAACACCCCCAGTTCCTCCTGTGATTGGGTGGCCCCGACTGTCCGTGATACTGCAGACATGGTCCTCCCGGGGCAGAAGACGAGGCCTGCCATTTCCCGCCCTCTCTCGTCACATCTGGAGGCTACACTTTGGTGAAAGGGGCCCCCAAGGCCTGCAGAAATCATGGGGCTGAAGCCTCTGACACTGAGCTCCTAGTTCTGAGCCCCTCCCCTTGCCCAGGCCTGTCCTGTGGGAGCTGCTCCCTGGCTGCCCCTCCCCCATGCTGCACCCATGGAACACACACACACACACACACACACACACACACACACACACAAATCAATATTGAACTTCACTTAATTAGATTAGGCCTATCATTCCAGCTCTATGGTCAGAAATTGTTGTTGTTTAATTGTTTCAGTCCTATCTGACGCTTCGTGATCCCATTTGGGGTTTTCTTGGCAAAGATACTGGAGTGGCTGGCCATTACCTTCTTCAGCTCATTTTACAGATGAGGAAACTGAGGCAAATTGCCCAGGGTCCTACAGGTAGTAAGTGTCTGAGGCCAGATTTGAACTCAAGTCTTCCTGATTCCAGGCCCGGCCTGCCCCAGTGCTCTGGCCACTGCACCACCCAGCTGCCCCAGTCAGAAGACATGGGTTCAAATCCCAATTCTGACATTCCCTAACTGACCTTGGACAAATCACTTAACCTTCCTGGACCTCAGTTTCCTCATTTGTAAATGGAGGGGATTGATTTAGACCCAATTGCCTCTTGGGCATCTCAAAATGGATATCTCAAACTGGACACGTTTAAAGCAAGTCTCATTATCTTTCCCTCAAACCTTCTCCTCTTTGTAACTTCTGCATTCCCATAAGGACACCTCCCCGGTTCCATGGCCCCAGGTTCACAACTGCAGGGGCATCCTTGCCTCTTCACTTGCACTCATGGCACACATCCAACCTCTTAACAAATCTGTGTCTTCCTTCATGCCCCCTGCCCACACTAAGGCCTAGTGAAGGCCCCTTATCACCTCTCCCTCGGACTGTAGCAAAAGCTTTTAATTAGCTTCCTTGTCTCTACCCTCTCAGCTGCCAGTGATCTTCCTGGGCATAGATCTGACCATTGCCAGCCTGCTATCCGACAAACTCCAGTCAGTCCCTGGTCCTGACCAGGGGATGACTTGGCGATGTTGAGGGCTCAATGCTGGCCGCTCTCACAGTTCCACAGGTGGAGGGCCTGTGGGGAATGGCACCTGCTGCCTTTAGGTCTGTTCAATCTGGAAGAGAGGTTTTAGGGATCATTTAGTCTGGCCCCCTTCTTTCACTGAGGAGAAGGCAGGAGCAGAGAGGGGAGGCAGCCTAGCTTGGTGGAAAGAGCACAGGCTTTGGAGGCAGGAGGCACGGCCAGCCCTGGCACTTGCTCTAGCTATAGCAAATCACCTAACCTTTCAGTCTGGAGTCGCCTTCCCTATAAAATGAGGGAGCTGTAACTCAGTGGTCCTCCCACAGGGCTGTTTCCAGCTCTAAATTCACCAGTCCCATGTGCTCTCTTATAACACTGACCTGGCCATGTTCCTCCCCTCAGTGTTCACAAGAGTCAAAGGCAGGAGTTGTGAACTGAGAAGGTAGTGTATTCCCTGTGGTGTTAATGCCATGATCCCTTAGCCCAAGAAGAGGGGGTTATGTGGGTAAAGAAGAGGAGTCAGGTTAGTCAAAGGGGATTGGCAAGGGGTATGGATGGTCAGGACAAGGTGGTTGAGATACTTGGCAGGTACCTCTCCTATCTGGGCATAGCGCAGAGCTGGAAGGGCTGAGGATTTAAGATGAATGAGATGTTGGGCTTGTCACTGGGCAGGGGGTTTCCTGGGGGTAGGACAAAGTTGAAGTCTTGTAGCAGGCTAGTGAAAAAGAGGAACAGTTCCATCTTGGCTAGTGGCTCCCCCAGGCACACCCGGCGGCCTGCATGAGAGAGGCAAGCGAGGATTAGGGGAATGCAAGGCCAGGAAAACCCCAATGCTGTCTTTCCCAGGCCAATGAGATGTCTCAACCACTCTGATTCCCATCTGATTAGATCTCACACAGACTTAGGTGTAGAAGGGGCCTTAGAAGCCATCAAGTCCAAATACCTTCATTTTACAGATGAGGAAACCAAGGCACAGAGAAGTGATGTCACTTGCCCAAGGTCACGCTGTTAGCGTCAGCGCCAAGATCCAGAGTCATAAGATGATAGGTTTGAAGGTAGAAAGGACTTTAGAAGCCAACAAGTCTGACTTTCTAATTTTACAGATGAGGAAATTGAGCCACAGGTAACTAGTTTGTCACACAGATAATAAGTGGAAGAACTAGAATTCCAAGTCACACGAGCTCTTCTATTCTAATCTTCTTATTTTATAAATGAGACGCCTGAGGCCCGGACAACTTCTGTGATTTGTCCAAGGTCACACAGACAGCAAATGACTGATCAAGCATTTGAACCCAGGCCCTCTGATGCTGAATCCAGCGGTCTTTCCATTATACCCATTGCTTCAACACTCTTTCCTGTCCCCGGCCCACCTGCTCTGCACTACAGAGGGGACCTCATTGTATACAACAAAACCAAAACATTGTCGAGAATTTAGTTTTTGCAAACTGAGCCCTATTTAAAGTAGATGGAATGGGGAGGTAGGGAAGCTGGTAATGAAGGCCAGAGTTTTCCAACAGCCTCGTCCTTGGCAAACTTCAAATGGTCCAAGAAACTTCTTGTCAAAGGCCTTATTCTTTTTGTTGTTGTTGTTTTGGCTGGGCAATGGGGTTAAGTGACTTGCCCAGGGTCACCCAGCTAGTAAGTGTTATGTGTCTGAGGCTGGACTTGAACTCAGGTCCTCCTGAATCCAGGGCCAGTGCTCTATCCACTGTGCCACCTAGCTGCCCCTCAAAGTTCTTATTCTTTAAACCCTATAAGCCTAAAGAACACATCCCCCCTAATCTCTTCCTCCTCCTCTTTTTCCTCCTTCTTTCTCCCGCCCTCCCTTTCCTGTTCAGGAATGCCCTGGACAACATGCCTGGAATCCTTCTCCTCCTCAGCCCAGCTCCCTCTTCTCCCTAGTTCTCGCTCTCTCTCCTTGAGCCTCCAGGCTCTAGCTGCAGAGGGCAAGGGCATTCCTATAGGTGATGAATGGAGTGACCAAAGACTGAGAATGGAACTTCAGGTGTCAGACTCACAGACTAGAAAGTCTGGGACCCTGATCCTGTGGCTTAGAGATTCCTTTGAGAAACGCATGGGAATATGGAACAATGGAAGGCATATTGCCTTTGGAGTCAGAGGCCCTGGGTTCAGATCCTGCCTTTTCCACTCCCTACCTGTGTAAGTCACTTGACCGCTCTGTGCCTCAGTTTCCTCTTCTCGAGCTCAATGACTCTGAGGTCCCTCCCAGCTCTAGAACAAGGCTCCTCTCCACCCATTCAGATGCTTCCTACTTCTTCAAGTCCTTCCTTCTCCCCAGCTTCACCTGAGGTCCCCCACCATGAAACCCCAGTACCCCTTTGTTTATGCCACACATTTGTAGCAGAGCCCTAACTAGGGCGGGCCAGCTGAGGCTTGCTTCCAGGCACTCTAGAACAAGGGTACGCCTTTCCCCCCATCACCCTGGAGACCGCTATCCTGTGCATCATGGTCCTCCCCCCAGTTCATGTTCCTCCAGGGGGTCTGGGGGAAGGTGGGCCATAGGAGAGGGCATGGGAACAGAATTTAGGGCCAGAGGGGAGGGGACAGATCACCCCACTTCTGGTCCTGCTGCCCCCACCGTTGCATTGTCTCTGCAGGGCTTGCTGACCCTTGACCCCTCAGCTGAATTTGCCCCAGGCACCAGGATGTCTAGTGACGGCTCTGGTTTCACTTCTGGGTGTCCTGGCTCCCCCCGTTAATGGCCAGAGCTGCCCCCTGGACTCCACTGATGGTCAAAGTCAAGGAGGAAAGGTGGGTACCAATCTTTGGTGCAGAGCGCTCTCTGCTGGGTTAGCTCCTAAGTCCTGTTTCTATAGCACTTTCCTCACAACCCAGAGGGATCAGGTCATCTCCATTGTACAGATGAGAAAACTGAGGCTCGGAGATGTTAGCAGGCGCTCATCACAGGTCTGGCAGCTAGCAAAGGCAAGGCCTGGAATTTGAATGCAAATCTCCTGCCTCTATCGGCTGTGCCTTGGGAGCTCATCCTGGGGCCTCTGGCCCTCCCCCACCTCCTGTCCTGCCCGTACCTGCAGAGAAAGGTATGAAGGCTTCCGGCTTCACAAAGTGGCCTTTGGCATCCAGGAAGTGCTCTGGGTGGAAGCGGTAAGGCTGCTCCCAGCTGGACTCATCCTTCAGCACTGAGCTCAGGTTGGCAATCAGGGTGGTCCCCTAAAGTTCAGGCCCAGGAAAAGTCTGTGGGGACGGTGGAGTCTGGGCCTCCTGGACCCTCTTCCTTCTCCCCAGGTCTGCAACCAGGCCCAGGAACCTCCCTGGCCTCCTCATCCTGGCCTTAATTATGCTCACTGACTTAGAAGGTCAGAACTGGGGGAGGGGCCTTAGAACGGGGCATGTGAGGGCTGGGAGGGGCCTTAGAACAGGGAATGTCAGAGCTGGGAGGGGCCTTAGAACAGGGAATGTCAGAGCTGGGAGGGACCTTAGAACAGGGAACGTCAGGGCTTGGAGGGGCCTTAGAACAGGGAATGTGAGGACTGGGAGGGGCCTTAGAACAGGGAATGTGAGGGCTGGGAGGGGCCTTAGAACAGGGGATGTCAGGGATGGGAGGGCCTTAGAACAGGGGATGTCAGAGCTAGGTAGGTACTCAGAGGTCTTCTAGTCCCATCCCCTCATTTTTCAGACAAAGAACCTGAGGCCCAAATAGGGCAAGGGACTGATCCCAGGTCTCCCATGCAGCCAGGGACAGCCTTGCACTTGGCCTCCCTTCTAGGTCCAGGGCTGGGTCCAGGGGCAGGTGGGCACCTTTGGGATGAAGAAGCCTTGGATTTCCGTGTCCCGGCTTGTCCTGTGTGGGACGCCCAGGGGAATGATATCCGAGAAGCGCTGGACTTCGTGTATCACGGCATTGGTGAACGGCATGTGGGCCTGGTCCTTCACGGTCGGTCTCCGGCTCCGGCCAATCACTCTGTCAACTTCCTCCTGGACCCTGCCTGGAGAGACCAGTGAAGGTGAGGCTGAGAGGGTGGTGGTTGTGGGGCCATCCCAAGAGACGTGGAGTCCTCAGTTGGAGTCCAGCCCTAAGGACCGTGTGAACTTGACCTCTATGGCCTACAAGATGGTCTCTCTAAGACTCTTCCGGCTCAGACATTTGGTCATCTGAGGGTCACGTGGCATGAACCTTCTCAGGACTGTCCCCCATTTCCCTTAAAAAGGAAGTGCATTTCTATCTCCAGCACTTGGAACAGTTCCTGATGCAGAGTAAGCATTTAATGAATGGTTGTTGCTTGCTGCAAGTGACCTGAGAGGCACCTCATCCAAACTGTTCTAGCATGAGGGTCCCCTCTCTTGTGTCAGTTTGGAGATCTCCAGTGATGGGGAACTCACTACCTCCCAAGACACGCCAGTCCTCTTTGGGACAGCTCTAGCCAGGAAGCGTGTTTCCATCAAGTCAAAATCTACCTCTCTGTGACTTCCACACGTCCTGAGGGCACCGTGCACACATGAGGGAGCCGGCAAGAAGCCCCAGGCAAACCTTGGAGCACTACCCAAATATTAGCTAAGAGGGTAAGGCGAGGAGAGGATGTCAGCCCCTCTGTCATGTTGTCAAAGTCCTGGGTGTCGTGCAAATGGAATGGAGCTTCCTTAAGAAGTGGTGAACTCCCCGTCACAGAGAGGGGTTTGCCCTGCTTTTCACCTCCACAACATCTCTCCTACAGGCCCCCTTCAATCCCCTGACACTGCTACCAGTCTAGACCACCGGAGGTAGCACTTTGGAGCAGCTGTTACGGTTAAGAACTGATGATGGTGCTGAGGTCAGATGTAAACTGGCTTCTTTGCAAATTCCCTTCTTCATTCCAGGTTCTGCCCTGTGAGGCCAGTGAGAGCGAGTCCTATCTGCCATCCAGCATAAATGATCCTTGAGTGTGTGTGTGTGTGTGTGTGTGTGTGTGTGTGTGTACACGTGTGAGAGAGAGAGAGCGAGCAAGCGTGTGTGTGTGAGAGAGTGTGTGAGTGTGTGAGAGTGTGTGTATGAGAGAGTGTGAGTGTGTGAGAGTGTGTGAGAGTGTATATGAGTGTGTGTGAGAGATTGTATGTGTGTGTGTGAGACAGTGTGTGTGAGAGATTGTATGTGTGTGTGTGTGAGACAGTGTGTGTGAGAGAGAGTGTGTGTGAGTGTGTGTGTGAGTGTGTATATGAGTGTGTGTGAGTGTGTGTGAGAGAGTGTATGTGTGTGTATGAGACAGTGTGTGTGTGAGAGTGTGTGTGAGAGTGTGTGTGTGTGTGTGTGTGTACCCGCACATGTGTGTGTCAGGGGGCATACCCCAGCAGGCCTTGCGCTGATGGCATTAGAGAAGAATCTCTCCTTGACCCTCCCTGCTCAGGGACCCGTCTCATCTATGGGAGTGGGAATTGGGATGAGGATAAAGGCTACAATTGTTGCTATTTGCCATGTAAAAGGAAGCACGTTATGGTTAATAACCATAGTTTTAGAGTCAGTAGGACCTGGATTCAAGTCCTGTCTCTGACACACACTAGCTGTGTGAGCCTGGGCCAATCACTTGACCTCTGAGAGCTCAAGGTAACTGTCACCTGGAATTTGCTCCGTGACTAAAATCACACTGCCAGACTTACTAGCTGTGTGACCTTGGGTAACTTCCTTCCCTTTCTGAGCCTCAGTTTCTTCATCTGTAAAATGAGGGGCCTGGACTTGATGACCTAGAGGTCTCTCCCATCCTATAGCCTCTGACTCCTCCAAGGTCATTCTGTAAGTCCGAGGCAGCAGCAGGTCTGATTCCTTAGGGAGCCAGCCTGTGAGCTCCCCGAGGTCAGGGGGCTGCCTCTCAGGTTCTATCTCCTCTCTCTCCTCCCGAGGCCCCTGTCCCCAAATCCCCATGGCTAGGAGAGCACTCAGTCCCTGGGGCCCAGAGCAGATGTGTACTCTGCTCAGATGCAGACTTCTCCCTCCCCTTGGGGTGCCCTCCCTCCCTCCCTCGCCTCCTGGGGCTCACGCTGGACACTGGGATGGAGGAGCAGGAGCAACAGTGCCCACTGGAGCGTGGTGGCAGTGGTTGCCATGCCTGCGGTGAACAGGTCTCCTATGACCATGCGGAGGTTTTCAGGGTTGAAACTGGTCCCTGGGATCCCCTTCACCTGGGAGGAGACAGAACAACAGCAAACTTGTGGAGAGGATGGGGCCTGGGAATCCTTTCTGCCATCCTCCCCAGCTCTCTCCTGTGACCCTTTCCTTTGCTGGACCTTCCCTCCTGGGGCGCTGGCAGCCCTCACCTTCTCCATCTCCATCAGGAAGGCGTCAGTGAGGTCCCGAGGGTGAGCTGGGTCCAAGGTCTCCTTGTGTTCTTTTAAGAATTCATCCAGGATATCAAAGAAGGCCCTCTGACCTTGGAAAAGCCATTGGGGCAGCCCCGGGATGGAGAGAAGAACTGGGAACTCATTTACCACCTGGATGGGAAGCTAGAGGTCACAGCCAGCCCTGTCTGCTGGCTAAGGACCCTCACGGGGCTGGGGGAAGGGACATGACTGCAGGTACCTCCCGTATCAGTCCTGTGTCTTCCTTCAGGCTGATCTCCAGAAGGCTCAGTAGCTTCTGCAGCTTCTGGTCATCGTAGCTGAATCGATTCCCGTACGTCAGAGAGGAGATCACATTGGTGACACAGCAGCTCAGGAGATAGCGGGGGTCAAAGGGACGTCCTGAGCGGAGAGGCAAGGTGGAGGAAAGGGAAGAGCGCGACCCTGCTGCCCCATTCCCATCCAGAATATGGAGCACTCTCAGTTTGGGGACTTATCTGCTCCCCTGTGGGGCAGGAGGCAGACTAGGGTAGGTCAGCAGGGCTTTGCTACAAGGCATTGAAATTTAGAGGGTGCGGATAAGACTGATTCTTTAGCAGCTTAGAAGCAAATGAACTCCACCCCAAGTTTGCAAGTACTTTGTTTCCTTTTCCCTGAGGTTACCTCCGGGTGAGCTGCAAGGGCACCCCCATCCCGGTCCCTGAAGATCTGGATTCCTGTCCCACAATCGTCCTTGGGTTCCCACCTCCCTCAACCCCAGCCTAGCCAAAAAGTTGCTCGTTCTGGCTCACCTGGCGGGACACAGACCCACCTTTCTTGGAGGCAAAAGCAGAGCAGAGAAAGGCTGCCTCAGTGGTCACCCACTGCTCCAGGCTCTGCTTTCCTAGTCCAAAGTTCCTCAAGGTGGTCAAGGAGAATCTTCTCTGCTCCTTCCAGGCTTCCCCATACCTGGCCATGATCACACCTGGTGAGGAGAAGTAGCTGAATTGGTCAGTTTACTTTGCACTGACTATGTGTCAGAAACGGTGCCGGGCACTGGAGAAAAAAGAAAGGTAAAAACCATGGCACCTGTTCTCAGGGAGCTTCCATTTTCCTGGGGGAAATGAGATGCAAATACATAATACGAGACTTCTTCCAAATGGATGCGAGCTAACCTCAAGGGGAAAGAGCTAGCAGCTGAGGGGGCTGGGAAGGTGAGATCTGAGTGAGTCTGTAAAGAAGCCAGGGAAGGTGAGGCACAGGGGAGGACAGAGAGCCTTCCAGATAGGGGGGATAGCCCCTTCAAAGGCACAGAGCTGGGAAATGGTGTCCCAGGAACAGCAAGCCAGCTGCTGTCACTGGTCCTAGAGTGACTGAAAGGGAGGAAAGTGTATGAAGCCTGCAAAGTTAGGAAGAGGTCATGTTAGGAAGGGCGGTGAATGCTGCACAGAATTTTGTATTTGATGCTGGAGGCAGGAAGGAGCTGCTGAAGGGACGAGGCAGGAAGACCATTAGGAGACTATTTTGACAGTCTGGGTGACTTGGGTGACTGGGAGGATGGTGGTTCTCTCAACAGCATTTGGGAAGTTGAAGAGGGGGAAGGTTGAAGGGAAAGAGAATGAGTCTTGCTTTGGGCGTGCTGAGTTTGACATGTCTATGGGAGGCTGGTTTGAGATGTGATCCATGTTGGTGAGGTGGGGCTGGAGTTCAGGAGAGAGATTAGGCCTGGAAAGATCAATATGGGAACCATCTGAAACAGAGAAGATGATTGAACCCATGGGATCTGATGACATCACCAAGGGAGAGAGTAAAGGGAAGAGGTCCCAGAACAGGGCCTTAGGAACATCCAGGTTTAGTGGGCATGACCTGGATGAAGATTCAGCAAAAGAGGCTTAGAGTCTTAAAATCTAGCCACTGCTCAGATTCTTATAATCTAACCACTAGTGTTCAGACTGCTTAAGAGTCTGCCCGATATGATGGATGTTCTAATAAACCTTGTCTTTGGCTGAAAGAAGGCTTGGGTAGAATTCTTTCGGACAGTATCTGCGTGTTCTGATTTTGGGATTCCAGCACCCCTAAACCTCATCATTTTGGTGGGCCATACGGGGAAACTACCTTATCTCAAGTTCTTCTCCAGCCAAGAGTGGAAGGTATGTAAGCCTCCCCCTGCCCCTTTTCTTGCTGTGCAGTTGGGGTCACTCTCCAAGCACCAAGGCTTGGAGGTGCTTTTCAGGCAAACAGTTACGAGGCTGTCTTGCACTCTCAGCCTGACGCTTTCAGGCTCTTGGTCCACTGGGTTGGTTCAAGGCCATGGACCTGGGTACATGTTACATAGCACAGAGGACAAGGATGGATGCCCTATCTGGAAGCATATGCCCAATTCTGTCCATTCTCAAGGCACTGGGAATTGGGGAAAACTGCAGTTGCTTTTTGGTTCCCTGAGGCTTACTTACTCCTTTCCCTCTATACCCCTGAATTCTCCTTCATGGAGGTAACAGGGAAAAGTTAGAATAGCTAAAAGTACTCTGGCAGATTCTGGAGGTTTTGTGACTGATCATTAAGGAGTTTCAAAAGTCCTCCTTACAACCCTGGTCACTGTTTTCTCCCACTGCCTTCCCTTGAGTCAAGAGGGTATCTGTTAACCCCTCTCATAGGAGAAAAGAGTTTCACCCTTTACCACTCACCTTTGATTTTGCCCTCCCCCACCTGGGGAAAAGAAGGAGGGGCAGCAGGTACAGGGTGTGCCCCCCTGGCAATGACCTTGGGCCCTAGGGCAACCTTTGCCTGGAAGCATCACCCAGGTTCAGCACATCCTGCTCAAGGTAAAGAAGCTGGCCTCTGAACTTGGGTAAGCACGCTCTTTTAAAGTTGTAGCTTTAACTGTTAATGATGAGATGTTGATTCTCTGTGTAAAGTAATTTGGAAATGCATTTAACAAAATTGAAGTCACCTGATTGGTAATGGGTTTCAAGTTTCAAATTGGTGAACTTTTTCTATCAGTCATGTCAAACAACTTTTCATAATTTGATTACCACTAACATAATTCGGCCATTGTTGGTTATTGTTTTAATGTGTGAACTTGCCAAAAGGCTTGTTTGGGTTCTGTAGGGCTTGCTGAGAATTTGCAAGTATATAGAAATGATCTCTCATGATCGGCTTTTTGCACCAGGACAAATTTAAGTTTGAGATGTAAATACTTGGAAAAGTTTTTCCTAAGTTGTGATTAATGAAACTTGCTGTTTGAGGTAAAAGCTCATAGGATTTTATTTTGAGTTGTCTGATGGGTCATAATCCATCGATAATCAATAATCCACCATCTGAGAGAAATGCCACAAGCTACTCAGAATGTGATACTGGTGGGAAGTCAGCATTGGGAAAAGCTGAGAGGACAATTTTAGCCTCAGTCTAAGATGGGATCCTCCTGGCTCAGTTTCCCCATTATATTCCTTTGAAAAGGAATGTTACCCACCTGGCTATTCCTGAGTCTGGCTATGAGGTGGATTTAATACTGCATGGTTGGAAAACTGAATTATCTGAATCCAAACAGAGCGAAGGATGTTTTATCCTGTCATATCTGGGCCCTGCAGTCTGTTGTGTCAGATTTGTTTCTTCCAGACTACAGGCCATTCACCTACAGTTGGTACAAACAGCGAGTACCAGTCAATGTCCCCCCCCCCCATGGCTCCCTGGACACAGCCTGTGCTCGGTTCCAATCAACCTCCTCTTTGGGAACCCCCGGCAAGGACAGCTCTACGCCCCTTGCCAGCAGGAAGCAGTTTCAGAAGCCAAGACCTTCGCCCCTTATCCCAAAAAGGATTTGGGTCCCCTTTGTTTGAGGAGGGAATGATGGGGTTGGGATCTGGACCCCAGAAAGGAAAAACCCTGGATTTTCCCACATGGCCAAGTCTCTGGCATTTGCCTGAGGCCATATTCTACCCATAATCTAGGCTAGGTTAAGGTTAATAGAGAATTGGGAGATTGGGTGTAGCCACAAAGAAAACTGGCCTTTATTTGTGGCTACACCCAATCTCCCAATTCTCTATTAATCTTAACCTAGCCTAGACCTCTCTATGTCCCCCAGCCACTTCCCACCCTTAATCCTATCTAGGCTCCATTTTCCCTTGGCCACCCCTGGAGTTCTATTACCTCACAGACTACTTGGCCACTCCTAGATCCCTCCCATAGTCTTTCTGTATATAAGGTTTATCTTGTCTCCATTAAGGTGCTCAGATTCTTAGAATCTAGCCAATAGCTCACTAATGTTCAGACTCCTTAAGAGTCTGCCCAATATGACAGATGTTCTAATAAACCTTGTCTTTGGCTGAAAAAAAAATTCAGCAAAAGAAACTGAGAAAGCAACAGGTAAGAGGAGAGCCAGGAGAGAGTGGTGTCCCAAAACCTAGAGAGAAGAGAAGATGGAAGAAGAGGGCAATTGACCATATTAAAGGCTGCAGGGGTCAGGGAGGTGGAGGACTGAGAAAAGGCCACTTGATTTGGCAATTAAGAGATTGTGGGTCACTTTAATTAGGTTGGAAGCCACACTATAGAGAATGAGAGAAGAGGAAGGAGGAAGGGGTGAACTCTCAAGGAGTTCAGCTATGAAAGGAAGCAGAGACATGGGATGACAGCAAGGATGGCTGGATCACTTGAGGGTCTTTCAAGGATGGAAGAGACATGGGAGGGTTTGTAGGCAGCGGGGAAGGAGCGGTAGATAGGGAGATAGTAGTGACGAGGCCAACCATCTGGAGAAGATGGGAGGAGACATGATCAAGAGTTAGGCAAGAAGGGCCATCTCCTCATGAGACACTGGAGGGAAGGACGAAATAGTGCAGGAAGATGTCTGGGAGATGGGAGATGCACAGGAGGGAGACCTCTTGGTGATGCCCTCATTTTTTTCAGTGAAATATGAAGCAAGATTCTCAGCTGAGAGAGTTGGGGAAGGGGGAGGCATGGGAGGCTTGAAGAGAGATGAGTAGGCTTGGAAAAGCCTACTGTGGGGAGTGGGAGAGCTAATCAGTTAGGGAGGGATTCCTCTGTTAGAGGCTGGGGCAAGAGGTGCCAGCCCTGTTGGGGCCAGGCATGACCCTGAGGGGCTCCCATCAAATCAGTCTGAGGTGGTCAGACTCCTGACTTCTCCTGAGGCTAGTAGGTCTGACCCACTGAGCCAGGAGGCACCTCAGAGACCAGCCCTGGGCAGGAGCTGGTTTGTAGCTTGCATTTGCCTTTGGACCAACAGTTGGGCCAAGCCCAGGTCGAGGCAGACCCTCTTCCCTCAGGACTGGCCAGTGGCTTTACTGCCCAATTTCTATTTTACCTTTGCTCAGGCTGCTTCCCAGAACAACTCATGGCTCACTTCTAGACTTGCCCATTCTTCAAGGGACAAGTGAAGCTCTGCCTCCTGCCAGAAGCCCACCTAGACCACTCCAGCCCACACTGAACTCCTTCACTGCTGAGTCTGAGGTGCCCCCCCCCGGATGTGGGGTAAGTGCAGCCTCCCAGAAAGGTAACTACTCTGGGCCTCAGTTTCCTCCTCTGAATGATAAGAAGGTTGAACTTGATGACTTCTGAGTCACCCTCAGACTAAGCATTGCTTTGGAGGACAGTCCTTCAGGAAGTAAGCCTGCCTTAGTGGTGAAGTGACTGACTAGCCCTGGAGGCTGCCCTGGGGCACTGGCTGGGTCAAAGAGCAACTCACCTTCAGCACTGGGCCCAAAGCCCAGGTGATGGTAGACTGGTGAGTATGGCCGGTCAGAAGTATCCTCAGACTTCTGCACCAAGGCCTCCCGGACAGCATCTAGTCCATTCAGCACCACTACAGGGGTCCGGGCCATCTGGAGGCTAAAAACATCGCCAAACGTCTCCCGGAGCTGTGGAGGGAAGGGAGGATATGGGCAGAGGGAGGTGGCAGGGCCAGAGGCTCCCTGCACCTTGCTGACCTGGAGTGTCTACCCCAGGGTTCTGAATCCTGGCCCCAGGCACCTAGGTACTGCCAGGAGAAGGAGCCTCCATGCTGGAGGGAGCAGGAGATGTCCACTATGCCCATCTAGATTAGGGTGATCAGCACCCGCACAGCAACTAGACCCAGGAACACATGCAATGTCATACATGCAGAAGAAGCAGGCTGCATGAGTCATTCCTAGGCTCAGAGAGTCAGAGCTGAAAGGACCTCAGAGGTCATTGAGTTCACCTCATTTTACAGAGGAGGAAACTGAGGCAAAAAGTGACATGTCCAAGGTCCCACAGCTAGAAAGGGCAGACCTGAGATTTGAGCCCAGGCTGTCTGGTTTCAGATCCAGACAGTGGAGGTGGAGCAGAGAAGCAGCAGCAAATCCCAGAAAATGTAGTTAATATGAGTGCTAGAGCTACTACTGCCCCTGCCTTCAAGGAAACCACATGCTATTCGTGCAATCTGGTTGGAGCAGAGGACAGCAGAGAGAGGAGGCTGGAGAGGGGGACTCACAAAGGCTGGGGAGGGTTTCCAGCACCGAGCCAAGGCATTTGGATTTTAGCCTAGACACAGAGGGCTGGAGGCATGGGCACTTTCTGAGCAGGGAGAGGGATGTAGTCAGAGCTGCACTTTAGGGAGAGTCTGGGTGCATCATGGAAGGGCTGGAGAGGGGGGAAGCTGAAAGCAGGGAGACCAGTTGGCAGTCAGTCAGGGGGAGGAGGACCTGAGCCAGGGATGGGGGTGGGGAGGGGAGGTAAAAACAGGTGAGGGAAGTGATAATCCCAGGCCCCGTGGATAGCCAGCAGGACTTCAGAACTGGTGACCTCTGGCATACAGCAGTGGGGAAATCTTTGATTGCAACCCAGAAGCTGGGGTAAGGGGGAAGTGGGAGATGGTTCTAGAGGGGATGGGGCCTTGAAAAGTGACTGGAAAGAGGGCCACGGCTGCACCTTGAGACCTTGATGAACTTTGAAAGGGAGGACTTGTTTCTGAAATCCCCAGGATCAGTTTGTAAGTGGTTTGGGCTAACTTACACCTACCCAACAAGCACTCGGAGCTGGGGGCGGGGATCTCCTGATCTTCACAGGCCCCCAGGGTGGGGGGCCTCTCCCCAGCCCATTCTGTCCCATCTAGGGAACTGTACCTGCGTCTCCTGCCCAGCCCCGCCCCCTTCCGGCCCCATTACCTCTCTGAAGCAGCCGTGGAGATTCTGAAAGTCTACTTGGAGCATGTTTCCCAGCAGGGGTATCCTGGTGGGGCCCGAAGGATAGCGGGGGGACCTCCGCCACTGTTTTGAGAACTCCAGAAGGAACACGAAGACAGTGAGAGCCAGGACCATGGTGGTCAGGGTCTGCCAGCAGAACAGCTGGGCCACGAGTGCCATGACGTTTCCCCTGTCCCTGTCCCACGCTAAAGACCCTGTTCCTCCTCCTCTTCCTCTTCTTTCCTTTCCCTGGAAGTCTGACCCTGACTTTCTATCCAGCTCCTGGGGGTGGAGACCAAGCCTGGGCTCCTCCCCAGATAACAACTCCCCTCCCCCTCTCCCATCCGTAGCCCAGCTCCTCTTAAAGGAGGAGGAGGCCTGGGCAGCTGCAGCTACTGGAAATCTGCCCAGACAGGTGGAGGGATTTACTTCAAACCCCAAAGGACTCTGCACTGGGAGTCAGGGGAGGAACCTTGGTTTGAACCTTGACTCTGACACCTCCTACCCGGGTGCCTCTCGCTGAGACTCCGTGCCCTCATCTGTAAAATAGGGACAGTTCTCTGTACCTCACTTACAGCAGGGTTCTAGGGTCGAAACTCACAAAGCGCCCCCAGCGCCAGAGTGTGGTATTGACTGAGCATCTGTTACGCCTCTTGTGGGCAGCCCGGTACCATGGACAGCGCACCAGGGACTGACTGAATCCCTCAGGCAAGCGGCTTCCCTTCTCGGTCCCAGTCGTCTTTTCAGTAAATTTCTTGCCGACGGCCACTGAGTGAGTTGGTGTCAGAGAGGAGACTCTAGCCAGTCCGGGGTCCTGGTTTCCAGGCCAATGTTTCTTGGCATCACTCTGCCCCTTGACTGGTTAGCTGGAGAGCGTCCAGAGGAGGTAAGCAGGATGGTGAAGGGCATATGAGAACTGGCTTGAAGGAACTTGGGGAAGGGAGTGGGATGAGGAGGAGGAGGGGAAGGGCGTGGTAGCTGTGTGCAAGTGACTGAAGGACTCTCGTGGGGAGGAGGGATTGGGCGGGTTCTATATGGCCCCAGAGGGCAGAAGTGATGGGGGAGGGGGAGACTTCAAAGATTCAATTTATGAAAAAGAAGAGCTGCCCTAAACTGGATTAGCTCACTTTAGGAAGTGGTGGATTCCCCCTCCCTGGAGGTCTCCAAGCTGAGGCTGGACAAAACTCTCGTCAGGTATGTTAAAGAGGGGACTTCTTTTGGGTATGGGTTGGACTATATGGCCCCGATCCCTTCAAACTCTCCCAATCTGTGATTCTGGGGAGTGATTCAGGACTTTTACAGGTTAGAACAGAGACAGATCCCAGCAACTCGCCCTTGCTTAGAGCATAGAACACAAAATGTCAGTTAACACTTCACAGGATCCAAGCTCTGGTTAGCTCCGGTTGAGGGACTGCTTTCTTCTTCTCCCAGATGTCTTTTGCCCTCCAGACCACCCAGGATAGGCCATAAAATCAGGACCTGGGTCCCTGCTTGCTGAGAGATCCTGCCCCTGGCCCCACTTCCTTGTCCAGGCAAGCATCTAACCCAATTCATCCTCTCAGGACTGGTTGACGGGCGGGGTATGTTTAACTTTGAGAAGAAGAGATTTGGAGGAGGGGAGGGGGGAGATGGGATCCTAGATCTGGGGCTGGAAGGACCCTCAGAGGCCTTTGAGTCCAACCCCCTTATTTTACATGTGAGGAAACTGAGGCTCAGAGTGGTTAAGGGACTTGCCTAAGGTCATACAGGTAGTAAATGTCAGAGGTGGAATGGAAAACCAGGTTCCTTGACTCCAGAGCCAGTATTCTTTCTCTTGGACCCCACTAGGACACCCAGGCCCCCTCAGCTAGGCACTGGACCCTGAATACAGGGGGAGGAAGTTTTTTTTTAAGGCAATTGGGGTTAAGTGACTTGCCCAAGGTCACACAGCTAGTAAGTGTCAAGTGTTTGGTCTGAGACCAGATTTGAACTCAGGTCCTCCTGACTTCAGGGCCAGTGCTCTATCCACTGTGCCCACCTGGCTGCCCCCAGAAAGATTTTTATGCATTAAAAGAAAACAACGAATAAGATATAAACCAGGATACAAGATTAGGTCATCTGATTTCTAAGTGGAGGAAAGATTAGGGACTTTTCAAGTTGAGAGGGGAGTCAACAGGAGCAATTCTCTGAAATCAGAAAAAGAGGTGTGCCACTCCTCTCAAGTATCTATATTCAATCAAAGGAACATGGAAACAGTAATGGATTGATCAGTGCTACCTGGGCTGGTTTTCAGACAAGACATATGAGCTGCCTGAGATGTATGACTGCAGGAGAAATCCTTGCATCAGTCTTCAGACCTGGCCTGGTCAGCATGACCTCTGTTCCTGAGTTCACATTAAACAAATCTGGTCTCTAAGCAGAAGTAGAGGTAGTCTGGCTTCTCTGGCACGAAGGGAACGACACAGTAACATTTTCTCTCAGTCCCCATAATTGAATAAGGTCTTCTCTTTTATGTTTTTTTTGGGGGGGTGGCAAGGCAATTGGGGTTAAGTGACTTGCTCAGGGTCACACAGATAGTGAGTATCATGTCTCTGAGGCCAGTTTTGAACTCAGGTCCTCCTGACTCCAGAGCTGATATATCGTCTATCCCCTGCACCACCTAGCTGCCCCTAAAGTTTTCTCACAAGACAGAAATTGGACTAGACCTATAATTGAATAGAGACGGAACTGAGCTAGCTTCAAGACCGAGTTACAAGATGGAGTCAGTGGGGTTCACTCAAGTCCCACAATGCCCACAGTAGGGAGCATAGTGATTATCGTCCAAACCCCAACGCTCAAGCAATATTAATTACAGCTGGCATTTCTATGGCACTTTGAAGTTTGCAAAGTGCTTTGTATGCATCTTCTTACTGAACCCCACGACAACCCTGTGAGGTAGGTACTATGGACATTATTGTGCCCATTTTACAGAGGAGGATACTGAGGATCAGAGAGGTCAAAAACCTTGACCAGGGTCACAGAGTGACTGAGGGTCAGAGACACAACATGAGCCCAGGTTCCTCTGACTTCAAACCCAGGGCTGAACTACTATTCCATACTGCCTCTTCATATGTTGGCTATACTGGTACGGTAGGAACTGGTACATAAGAACTACTACTACTACTACTACTACTACTACTACCACCACTACTACTACTACTACCATTTCCATAGCACTGTAAGGTTTGCAAAAGGCTTTAATTACGTTATCTGATTTCATCCTCACAACCTCCCTGAGAGATCTCCCCATTTTATAAATGGGGATGGGCAGTGTTAAATGTGTTGTCCAAGGTCACACAACTAGTGAGTGTCTGAGTCAGGATTTGAACTCAGGCTTCTAAGCCCAGTGAGATAGTCTAACTGTCTCTGACTAAATGGCAGGACAGGGCAGAGGGGCATTTGGGTGTCCAAACAGGCAGGTGCAGTTGCTCAGGAAGGACTGGTAGGTAGAGGACTCAGCCTGAGCTTGGGGAGAAGGGGCTCAAACCTGGAGGTGTTTGGTAGGTTACAGATATACAGGGAGCTCGGTACGTGGAGTGTCAGAGCTGGGTCCAGCCACAGGGGCTGGAGGGTTCCTGGCTAAAACCTCAGGGAGCTATTGTCACCAGGGAATAATTTCCAGAGCTCTTTCTAGGCTTACAAGGTGCTGAATGAGAAGTTTTAGTGGAAAGACACAGAATTAGGTTTTTGGAGTCTGAAGTCACAAGTTTTAATTCCGGCTTTACTTCTTACTACTTTAGGGGTTTGGACAATTCCTTCTCCTCTCTGAGTCTCAGTTTCCTGAGTTATAAAGAGATTGAACTTGATTTCTGCTATAAATATTTTGGTACGTATGAGATCTTTCTTCTATCTTTGACCTCCTCAGGGTCTCTATGCCCAGCAGTGGGCTCTCTGGGTCAGAGGCTATGCACAATTCCAAATTGCTTTCCCACAGTAGTTGGGCCACTGCTCAGCTCCACCAATCATGCACAGGTGTGCCTGTTTTTCTACAAGCCTGTGAACATAGTTTCCATCTTTTGTCATTTCTGCAAATTTTCTGAGGTGTGAGTGAAGCGAGCGAACTTCCTTGCCTTTCTTTCGTTATTAGTGATTTGGGGCTGGATCGCGCAAGGTTAATAGTTTGGGACTTGACCATCTCACAGGTATTTTTCAATGATAAATCTTATGAAGCCTTGAGAGGTAGGTAGTTCGCGTGATATTTCCATCTTACAGGCTCAGTGGCCAAGTGAATTCAGAGCCATGCAGTGAGGAAGTGTTAGAGTCAGGGTCTGAATCCAAGTTTTCCAGATCCACTACTCTTTCCACCACTCCTTGCTGCTTTAACCCATGAGGTCAAATTGGGGAGTGGGACAGAAGGGCCAAAGCCAAAAGGTTTGCAGAAGTCTACACCAGGGAGAGCTGTGTCTACACAGGCGAGCTGTGGCCCCAGGAGCTGCCCAGGGCTTTGGCTGCCTTTCATACTGATGTTGTCTAGGTCTGTTTACTTGGCCCTGACTCAGAGTCCAAGCTCTTTGATCTTAAAGGGGCAGCCCCTGTTACAACGTGGGGCTACACTTTCCAGACGGACTCCTCTAGGCTCTGGCTTAATGTGTCACCCTCTCCTAGATCTGCATTTTAGAATCAGTTAGCCAACTAAGGATTTATTAAACACCTACTGTGTGCCAGATGCCTAGGCTGTGATAGGTTAGTTAGAATGAGAAGGAAGCTTATAAATCAAATCTAATGCCCTTATTTTAGAGTTGAGGAAACTGAGGCCCAGAAAAGGTGACTTGTCTAAGGTCACACAGCTGGTAAGGATCTGAGACAGGCAGATAGCCCTTGTCTTCAGGGAGCTTACATTCTAATGATCTCATCAACCTAATCTTAGAATCCAAAGGAACCTTACAGACCATCCAGTATTCTGGTCCAATGTCTTCATTTTACAAAAGAGGAGACTGAGGCCCAGAGAGGGGAAGGGACCAAGTCTCCAGCACATTGGTGGTAGAGTGGGAGTGGGATTCTTCTCTGTAGTGTCACCAGCCCATGGCAGCTCTTTTCACTGGCCTGGCCCACTCTGCTGCTACCTTCATGGGAATCAGCAGGCAAGTGTCTGGTTCAGAGCAATCACAGCCTCAATTAAGTGAGCACAGAAACATTTCATTACCACCAGTGCCAAGGAGGTGGCTGGGCACGCCTGGCTCATGTGGCTGATATACATATACTGGTGTCTCTCGTGCCTGGAGCATGTTCCCTCCTCCTTCTCTCTACCTCCCAGAAGCCTGGATTGGAGCTGCCTCCTCCAGGAGGCCTTCCCTGACTCCTTCCCCTCCCTCTTGCTCCCATTCCCCTCTAGCATGAGAGCCTCCTCCTCCTCCAGCAGATCATAAGCTCCTGGAAGGGCGAAACTGCATTGATTTTCTCTCTTGTCTCCAGCACTGAGTGCAGGGCCTGGCACATACTAGTTACTTAATAAATCCTTGTTTGAATTGGACTGAATAGAATCTACATGAGATCACAAATTTAGAGCTGGGAGGAACCCTGGAGTCCAACTCCTTCATTTTATTTTATTTTTTGGTGAGGCAATTGGGGTTAAGTGACTTGCCCAAGGTCACACAGCTAGTAAGTGTCAAGTGTCTGAGGCTGGATTTGAACTCAGGTCCTCCTGACTCCAAGGCCAGAGCTTTATCCACTATGCCACCTAGCTGCTCCTCAACTCCTTCATTTTGTAGAGGAGGTAACTGAGGCTCTTGGCTGGGGGCGGGGGAGGGTGGTAGTGAAGGGGGAAGAATGCTCAGGGTCACCCAGGGAGTAAGTGGCAGATTTGGTAGGATTTGAACCCTGGTCTTCCTGCTTGCAGGAAGGGCAGCTAGGTGGTATAGTGGATAGAGCCCTGGGCCTGGAGTCAGGAAGCCCTGAGTATAAATTCAGCCTCGGACATTCACTCACTGTGTGACCCGGGGCAAGTCACTTCACCCTGTTTGCCTGAGTTTCCTCAGCTGTAAAACGAGCTGGAGACGAAATGGCAAATCTCTCCAATATCTTTGTCAAGGAAACCCCAAGTGGGGTCACGGAGAGTCAGACACGACTGAACTTCGTGCTTGCAGGTCCGAGATGACCATCACCCCGAGCTGCCACCTCCGAGGAGGCTTAGAAACAGACCTGTGGCAGCAGAGGGCTGCGAGAGGGGCTGTGGGAACGGCAGCCTGGGTTCCAGGAAGCACCAGATTCCTAGAGGAGGAGGCTCACAGATGGGCCAAGTAAATAGACCTAGACAACAGAGGGACACACTTGGGAACCTGTGTGCCATTTTTGATCAGACACGGCCATGTGGCGGAGCGGGTGCAGGGACAAAACAGGTCTGATCATCTCTCCAAAATGCCCCACCCAGGCTAGCACTCTGCTTAAAGACCTCTGGTGATGGGGAGCTCACTACCTTCGCCCACAGCCCGATCTCTTTTCTGGGCAGCCTTGCCTTATGGCAAGCCTCCTTCGAAAGTCTCAGCCCAGAGGACTCGCGCGGCAGCCCGCCG